GGTGTGGTTATGGTGGGGGGGGGGGGGGGTTTTTGGGGGGGGGGGGGAGGAGGGGGGGCGGCGAGCGGCGGAGATCGGGGGATCTTCATCGGAAGGATTGGAGAGGTTGGTGAGTTTTTTGAGGAAACGCTGTAATTAATTTTAAAAAAATTATCTAATCTGATTCGTGAAAAGATTAGCATTGATTCAGATTTGTTATATTTTGAAGGAAAAAAATCATTTCTACAGCTTCTGCTTTACATAATATATTTGTGTAAATAAATTATCATTAATATTATTTATTTATGTATAAGATATTTTATAATATGGAAATAATTATTTTTTATTAACAAAAATGATGTGAAAATTCCTCCTTTTTTTGAAGATAACTTTATATTTTTCTTATATTTATGGTGAAATTTCACTCATCTATTGATTGATTTTGTTGCACTGCTGACATTATTTATAAGGACTGATTTCTCTTTAGCTACTTGAGTGAGTCATGAAGGAAAACCTATTTTTTTAAATAATGTAAATCATGACAAAAAACGAATGTAAATGATATATTGTCAAAGAAATTTATAAGGACTTCCTTGCAAGATTTTTTGCTGCAAAATTTCTCATTAATAAAAAATAAACAAAAAAGAAAAAATATTGCATTTTGAATCTTTGACTTAGATTAATTTCAGTCACACTATTTTAAATTTAATTCAAATCAAAAAGTCAATTAAATCAAATAATTACTTTTTTTTTCTCGGTTAAACCAAAAATGAAGGCCAAGCAAATGGCTGAAAGCATAAAAGGTACTAATTTTCACACTTTTAAGCTAAAATTTTCTCATTTGGAATTTCTCAATTTCTTTTATTTACATGAATGTAACGGGATGCAACAATGAATGTCCATGAAATAATACTGTAAAATATTAAAGTACAAGGCATCTACATATTTCTAGTGACTTTGATCTTGAGGTCCCTTCAACCAGAGTTGAAATACCTTCACTAAACATCTGAACTTTCATTGTTACCGCCCGTTAACGATGGTTTAGGGGCTTCCGAATCTGAACATTTAAGCCACGTAATTTTGAATATATGTTGGTATAATAAAATTGTATACCTGAGATGACGAGTGATTTCTTGGCATGCGGTGGAGGTTGAAGCTTAAACCCTCGCGGCAGAGAAGACTGCGGGAAGAAGGGTCCCTCAATGTCCATTCCAGCCGTCTGATCTTTCTCATTCGGCTGATAATGAGCATGAGCTTGCATCATGGACGGAGCAAAGCCGGCCCTTGAAGACTGAAACATGTAATTCATCAGAGGGTGTTGATGATAAGGGTAAGTTGAAGCACCACCGTTCGATTGCACGTGCGATCCATATGCCATCTGATGATAGTATTGTGATGCCAATTGAGGATGATAGGAACCCTGACATATTCTTAAGCATTATTAGTTTCTGATAACTTAATATCATCAATAACATGGCAATTAGAAGTCAATTAAATAAATGCAGGTTGTACTAACTACCATACAATTGTAAATGATCATGGTTCTAAGCAAATTATATGTAAATACTTTAGATAATATGCAAGTATATTTTAAAATAATGTAAAGCATGCATATTTGTAGTAAATTAGTAGTCTTCACTACAAAACAATTGGGCTATAGACCAGATTAAAATGAAAAATAAAAAAAATGAATCAGATTTAGAACTCTTAGATCAATTTTTAGATGAGCACAACACTTCCATATAATTGCACTCATCTCAAAGTAAATCGAAATGACTCAAAATTTATCGTGATGATTTTTTTTTAAAATTAAAATAGTTCATAGAGGCATTTTGCCTCATATAAAAGAATACATTAACCACCTATACAGCCCTATGGGCCATTTTTTAGAATCTAATATCATAGCAAAATTTCAAACTTATTTCTCTTTTCTTCCATTTTCTGCTCTGCTTGCACTCAGTTGATCTTATGAATAGGGTCATGGCACCTCATGAATAGATTTGAATCCAGCAAATAAAGAGAACTAAGCCGCTCTACAGTCCTACAACATAATAGCTTTGGCGGGCTTACTTTTACATATTAGAGGTAATTATTACAATATCATCTATAAATACAAAAGCAATCTAAATAGAGCAAATATTACATGTAGATACCAGACGTCCGGACGGTGGTCCGGATAGGCCGCCGTGAAATACACTGCAGCGTGGCCGCATCTAGACCACCGCCCGGACGTGCGGTCAACCACACGTAATATTTTCTCCTCCAAAAAACTTTTTTTTGCTAAAAATGTGCCCCCCTTCCATTTATTTCATGAGTATTAACAATTAATTTTTGGTGCAGCTTATCTTTTTTTATGAGTATAATAATTTTTAATTGTATATAAAATTTTATAATATTACATAATAAAACATAAAATAAAACCTGATCAATCATATATTCAAATGTTTAGCCTCGTCAAACAGAACTTAACATGAACTAAAATTAATTAATTGCAACTCATAAAATCTGATATCATATGCCAATTCACATAAGTGCCAAAACAAGGATTATCTGATAGTATTATATTGATTCAGACTTATTAGCATTAACCGTTCTACAAATAATTAGTTAGGTCTAACGAAGTAATATTTACAGAGCATAGCTCAATAAGTAACTTGTGAGCTAAGCGCAATAAGTTAATAAGCAAAACTCAAGCCAACACCGACACAACTCATTGTGAGCCAGATTATTTAAAAATTATTGTTTACCTCGACATAGATTCCATAATTCAATACGAGTAAGCACAAAGTTGAAAATAATTATTGAAATGATAAATAATATCGAAATTGTCTTCATTAACATCAAAGTCACTCAAACAATGTAGATTCGCAAAGCAAACCATGCCAAACGTATTTTTAACATAAAAAATGTATAGAATAAACACAAATATTGGTTGAGCGACTGTAAAATCTAAGACATTCGTTTGTGAAAATGTGAAATCTAAGACACTCCTTTGTGAAAATGTGAAATCTAAGACACTCCTTTGTTAAGAGGGATGCAAAATATATAATTAAATAAATATCATTAATTAATAGATCAAATTAAATTAAATTAAGATTATTGAAATTGATATCAAATTTGTTAAAAGCTCTAAAATTTTAAAGACTACCTCATCCCGAAGAACTCATCCACAAATCCCTAAAGGCCTGTAGGACAACGAATTAGATTTAAGGATTTAGTAAATCTTGTAAGGGTTGGATCCTAAAAACTATTTGGCAACGGATTTAAAACTTTGTTATATTTGTTAGAAAAAAATCATTACAAAATATTGACTATTTTATTATCATGATAAAAATTAATAATTAATTTTAATTAAAGTCGATTTATAATTTATTTATAATTATATTAAATAATAAAAATGTATTCACCAAACTAATTAATTGTTGATAAAATATCTTTAAACTAATTACATATTAAATAGTAAATTAAAATTAATTAATTAATAATTATACTAATTAAGAAAAATGGGCTCCTCCCTCTCTCTCTCATACTAATTAAGAAAAATGGGCTCCTTCTCCTTTCTCTCTCTTCAAGTGAAAAGAGGGTCTATTTGTAGGCCATGAAGAAGGCGCATTTTCATTCTTTGACAAATAACCACTATAACCACCTAATTGAACGACCCACATTGGTTCACCTTGATCATAAGAAAATTTTTTATGATTTGAGGGTCTTAATGATTTCATAATTAAAAGAGCCTAGACTTATTGGATTTCTCTCGTCAAGACGCTTGATTTGACTTATGTACGTCAAATTTGGAGTTCATTTGACAATCTAATTAACCCCCCAATGCCTCCTACAGTGGTTCAATGACTTGATCCGAGCTTGATTGAACTCAAATTGGACCAATTTTTATATCACTGAGTTCGTCTTGTAGTGACAATCAATTTGACCATAAATTTGTTGAAATTGAAACTTTGAAAAATTTTTAATTTGATTTTGTCTTTTGCTTTGAAAGATGTCTCAAGATTTATGTCAAATAATGAAATTTTGTTGATGTCGCATCATATATAAATATGAAATCTAAAAAATTAAGTGGTATGTAATTAAATGCCTCTTTATTAAAAAATTAGCTTGAGCTAATATGATTTTTTTTCTTTCATAATAAAGAAGTTGGCTCATGAATTAAGATCGAGCTCGATCAATTAATCACGCTCAAACTCAAATTGCGGTGGCTCAAGCTTGGCTGACTGATTTACACTCTTAGCCCCCAACCATTTTTAAAGCCCTTGTATCACTGTTCCAGTGATCTGAGCAGTTAAATTTAAAGCAGGGAAATGAAATAAATTATAAGAGTTCCCAAGAACACTAACCTGCTGATAGCCATATTCTGAAGCGTAAGTGATGTATCTGCAAGAATTAAACAAATCATACTCTAGAAGTCGTTTCTCTGATTGAACAGCTAATACTAATGAAGCAGACAAAATAATAATTACCAATTTATGCATGTAAGATTTACTTACACACCACTTAATTCCTATTATTAACATATAGCATCTAAACTTCAATTTTTACATACACGATATCGTACCTATGAATGAAAAAGTGTACTTCACTTTTTAAAAGTTAAAAAAAGTGATATTTTTATGTAATATGAAAGACTTTGGTGCTATAAATGTAGAAAAAATAAAGTAGGTGTTAGATACATAGGAGTTGGGTGGTATGCATGTAAATGCCCATTCCTATTGTAAAACGTAAAATAAAATCAGAAAAATCCCATTAGGCACCGTAAGTCCATAAATCCGCATTATAGTCAATGCAAATAAATAAAGTGAAATTTCGTAGTTATATTTTTCATGTAAAATTAAAACACATGATCCTATGTATTTACATCTCTAATACCTAAAACTTTCATATTTGCATGCAGAACCATCAAATCCTTAACATCGCATAAAAAATATTATTAATACAAACTTTTTTAAAATTGAAATGTATCTTTTCAAGCATAGGTCTACGATACTAAAGCATTATAAATATATAAATATGTAAATAAATAAAAATTGTGAGGTATCTACATATATTTACTTCAATAACTAATGTTCAATAAAAAGATGTTCAGAAAAAAAATCTAAATCAAACAATATGTGAGTATAACCTCTAGTAAATATATAATGAGCAAAGATTGGATCTAAAAATAAGTTTTAATGAGCCATACTAGTGTAATAAACCACCAACGAAAAAGACACTATATACTCTCTTTTCCTCTTCTATACTTCAACCACTATTTTTCACTTGGTGCTTGAACTCACTTTTAAAGTCATTAATAAACATTTTCCTAGACTTTTTAATCTTTAAGCACTAATATGTTATGGAAAGTAACAAATCTAATGAAAGTATATATTAAGAAGCTCGATTATAAGAAATCTATTATATGTTTTTTCTATATTAGATAATTTAATTAAAAGAGATCTAATTACCAGATTTTTCTCTATTAGAAATATTACTAATCTATAAAGATTGGAATGTATATAAATATATTACAAATGTTTTCACTTGAGAAATAAAAAAGAAAGAGTTGTTTTCCTTCACATGGTATCAAAGCCACGCACAACTCGCTGCAGCTACTCGGTTCCGTGTCATTTCTTGGCTCATCCTTCCAATCGTTAATTCGTCAGCGTCGTATGTGTTGTTTGCATATCTTCATTCCCACACGTCGTAGTCTAAATCACTCATTAAAGATGAATGAATAGGGCATACGAGAATAGAGCATCGATCAATCTTCGTCTGCTTCATTTCATTATGCGACGAGATTAGGGAATCATTCAAATCTTTGTCTGTTTCGTCTTCATTATGCAATGTCTCGTCTATTGTAAGTGGTCATTAGCGTCGTTCACCACGTTTATTTAAATTTGGCAATCATTGAATTATCCGTAGAGTTGTTTATCTCATACGACTCGATATCAATCGTCTATGATGTTCATCTCACCTTTCAGCTCGTTCATGCCATCACATTGAGGAGTTCATTATTGGGATTAGATGTGTTATTATGTGGATTCTAAATGAGTTAATCAATTGGATACTCAAATCTCTCAATTTCGCCAATCAAGCTTGAAGGTAAGTTTGCTCGGGGAGCAGGGGGTGGGATTAATTCCTTGAAGTGGGTTCTGCGGCGCTGCCCCATAAATGTGTTTTTGCTACACCCAATGACCCAGCACAGCCATGCCTTGTATAGGTTCAAATTCGAGAACATGACACTTCAACGATGAGAGGAAAACACTGCAATGCTCAAATACAGCACCCCAGCGTCGAGATCAACAGCGCCCATGTGACAACCCATACTCTCGTTGATGTAGCACATCATCTAAATGAAACTAAAGGTCTACTTACAAGTACTCAAGCAAGAGCCCAAGAAAGTGCCTAATTAAGAGCCCATTAAAGGTCATCACAAGAGGCATATCAAAAAGAATTATTTGCATTTGTACTTTATTATTTATTGTTGGCATCAATTTTTGGATGTCATAAGTGTAGGGCGTCCGCCTGTGATCGATGAAAATTAGTTATCACGCCACGCATGAATTGACCCAATCATCAGTGAAGTAGTCCAAGACAATCCAGAAAGACGAAACAGACTACGCGGTCGCGTCTGGGACGTCGATTTTGCTTAGGGGAGACCCTCATTATATTGTGAGGACGTGTTCGACGAAATTGTGCGGAGAGCTTGAAAGGAAAATAATATTATTAATATTATTATAATATAAATAATAATAATAATAATAATTAAAAAAAAAACCTCTCTCTCTCTTATCAACACACGCATCCCTCTCCCATATATACAAATATAGCCCTCCTCTCCTGGTTAAAAAAGAAAAGCATTGCAACTGCTCCCGGATCGCAGCTTTTCTCCCTGAATCGCTACTTCTCCCGCTCTCCCTCGCCAACCCCGCCAACCTCGCCAGATTTTCTTCACCTCGCCGGCTTTTGCCTTACCAGTGTTGTGTTTTTCGCCGGAGTAAAACGGTGAGGAGAAGCTTCATATTTGGGCTTTCCCTCCACGTCTCCTCCACCTTCGGCATTCACCGCCGACAAAATAGCATTCATCACTTCGCCGCCTTGCTTTTCCGGCAATCCGACACCTCGCCGGACCGCCCCGACGCTGTTGTACCACGAACACCAAAATCGTTCGGGATGGTACGAAAGACTTCCAACTCACGTGCAAGCCTCCGTCGGACGTCTTTAGGCTTCGTGCAAACTACGCGAAGGTATAACTCTTCTTCCCCTTCGCATTTTACTCCATAGACGGCCTTAGGTTGTAGGTGTGATAGGCGTGTAGGTTCGATCGCCCACACGGGGTGTGTGCGCCCTATGTGATGGATCAATTGTTTTTCTAGAGGTGACCTACAAGATAGAATCCCCTTGCGCAACTAATTTTCCTACGATAGCCGAGTGAATCTTATTTGACTGTTAGCCCTAGCACAAAGATCCTAAAGATTGGAGCTCACTTCGCTCCCCTTTGCTTTGGTTGTATCGATCTTTTAAAAAGATCGAAAAGTAGATCTTTGAGAAAATGTGAATCATTAGGTCATTTTACAAAAATCAGAGGCGTCGTGAAATCAGGAAGGTGTTGTCGCTAGCCTGTTTCATGACGAGATGGAGAACTTCTCCCTTTAGAGATTCAGGGAGAAGTTCCCCCACTTGCCTCACCAAAGCAAAGGCGACAATTGTAATCTTTTTATATGTTGACCCTAGGTTCCCCGGTAAAATCGTTAGCACGAGAATGACTCTCTATCACATATTTATGTTTACATGTTGTACTTTGCATGTCACCTCACTTCATTTCGCTTCGTTCGGTCGCCCCGACCCTACGAGCAATTCACTTCGCTCCGTCTGACCGCCCCGACCCGACGAGCACCTCACTTCGCTCCGTCTAGCCCGATGAGCAATTCACTTCGCTCCGTCTGGCCGCCCCAGCCCGACGAGCACCTCACTTCGCTCCGTCTAGCCGTCCCGACCCGACGAGCACCTCACTTCGCTTCGTTCGGTCGCCCCGGCCCGACGAGCACCTCACTTCACTCCGTCCGGCCACCCCGGACCCCGGCCCGGCGAGCACTTCACTTCATTTCAATCGGCTTCCCTGAGTCGGTTGATACGACACTTTGGTTTGACAGGATTACTCGACCCAATCGACCAATTACTTGCACCACAATATTATCTTGCATGTGTGTTTGCATTTTTGCATGTTGTAGCGCATATGCATGAATAAATTATTGCATCCCGCCTTGCATCTCTATGTCTTTATGATTATGATCAACACATTTCCTGGGGACACTGCCACTATAGCATGCCCACCACTCCGGGGCCACTGCCACTATAGCATGCCCACCTTTCTGGGGATCCTGCTGTCACAACATGTCTATTCTTTATAGGTCACTGCCTTTAGCGACATACCTCCTGGAACCGCTGCCACCACGACATGTCCATCTTCTTAGGGTCACTGCCACTACGGTATGCCCACTTATGTTTTTATTGTCTTATTGACATACCTCCTGGGGTCGCTGTCACCACGACATGCCCCTCTTCTTAGGGTCATTGCCACTATGGTTTGCATTTCTGCACATTGTAGCGCATATGCATGAATACATTATTGCATCCCATCTTGCATCTGTATGTCTTTATGATTATGTTATGATTATGATCAAATATGATTATGATCAAATGCTTTAGTTGCACACTTCTTGGGGTCACTGCCGCTATAGCATGCCCACCTTTCTAGAGCCCCTGCTGTCACAGCATGCCTATTCTTTATAGGTCACTGTCTTATCGGCATACCTCCTGGGACCGCTGCCACCACGACATGTCCATCTTCTTAGGGCCACTGTCACTACGGTATGCCCACTTATGTTTTTATTGCCTTATTGGCATACCTCCTGGGACCGTTGCCACCACGGCATGCCCCTCTTCTTAGGGTCATGGTCACTATGGTATGCTCACCTTTGTTTGAATCCCTACCCCATGGTATAATCACTACTTATGTTTTGATTAATCATCTGTATTGCATTTGCATGTTTGCATGGATAGCGAGCCAGACCCGTTAGGAGAATGACTCTCGTGTTGGTCGCGATGCCATAACGAGCATTGTTTGCTGAGTCAATCCCGATGATCAATGCGAGTAAAGTCATCAGGACTGACATGAGTATGACTGTGCTAAGAATCCAATGAATCTAACCAGTGTCATCCCCTTTCGTGAAACTCTTTAGATTCTTTGGATCCTTAGGATGGGGCCAGTAAAGTGACCCCATTAAAGCATACCATACCCAAACTTACCCCGCACTTAGATAATAGGTTGATGCACTTTTCGTTAGATGGTGTGCTAGGCTAGGATTTAGGGTTCTAGGTAGTCTTTTTGATGTCTG